CCCCCCCCAAAAAAACAAACAAACAGAAAACAAACAAACAAACAACCAAAAAACAAACAACCCAAGAACAACAAAATCATACTTCTGAAGTCTTCCAAAATATTAAGGCTAAATCCACCCCTGTTAACCTAGAGGATTAGGATTTAGATACAACTTAAGTCATGTCATCTAACTGATGACACTAGTTTTACAAAGAAATGGTACACTGGCAGGAAGCATGCACCTTTCAACATTCTGAGTGAAAGCAGCAAGAGATCAGGAGGAAACTTTCATACTTTTTTCCTGGATACCAGTAAAATGCCCAGACAAAAGCTAGGATAGGAGGAAGGAGAACAGAGGAAAACAAAGTAACCCTAGAAAAACTGATGGTCTTTCATACTGGAAACACATCTGATCAAAGAGCCAAAACACACTGCAAGCGACTTCTAATCAGAGCAATAATATTGCATATGCCCTTGCTTGGAAAACTACATTTTTTTAATTACACAGGAAGCAGCAATGAGAAAATGAGGAACAGTACTGATGTACAGACACTGATTGCACAGCAGCAGCATTCCTATGGGATACATGGCCAATTCTTCAGAGGCAACTTCAGAGGGTTCGTTATATTACAATCTGCTTGTTATGGTTCTTTCTACCCTTTGTCCTATTTAAAGCCATCTGAACTACACTATTCCTCCCCCATTCTCACCCCCAAAATTTTGAAATAAAGAGTTAACTATATCTTGCCTGGGGCACATATTAAAGGGTAAAATTTTAAACTGCCCACTGTTAGGCTGTGATAACATTCATGCATACAATATTATTAAGAGAAAGCAGTAAATCCTGTTGCCACCTACTCATGGAACATTAGGCTATATGCCATCTGTTCTACCAATTCTGATGTATTAATTACATGTGAATCACTGCCGGAAAGTTTTCAGTACTGCGAAATTTAGGCTTAGCGGTCACCACACCACATACCAGTCTCTAGTTGCTGGGGGAGGAAAAAGGAGGGGAAGGGGAAAGAGGGGCAAACCTCTGTCAATATACAAGTTCTGCATGCAAGATTTCACATAACCAAGCTTCATTGTTTGACTGATTATGGGGTTCTGCAGGGATCTATTCCGGGCCCCAACTTTGTTCAAGGTTTTCATCAGTGATCTGGAAACGGAGGTGCACAATAATGTCTCTAAGTTTGCAAATGATACCAAATCTTCTGTAGAGTCAAGTCCCAAGCTGATGGAGAGGAACTGCAGACAGATCTCACCAAGCTAAGTGAGCAGTCAAAAAAAATGGCAGATGAACTTCAAATCAACAAGTACAAAGGTAATGCACCTGGCAAAAATTAGTAGGAAACTGGTTTCAAACTAACAAGACAAAGTCTTTTTTATGCAATGCATAATTAACTTGTGGAATTCATTGCCACAGGAGGGATGGATGCAGGTAGCATAGCTAGGTTCAAAAAGAGACTGGACAAATTCATGGATGATAGATCTATTAGTAACTGTTAAATGGATTGGCTGGAGATGTTTAGAAATGCCAGAGGAAATGAATAATGGTGCATGCCAAGAAAGATAATGGACAGGGAACAGATGACCCTAGATCTATTCCAGTTCAATGTTTTCCCTCTAGTATCCATTTCTGCCACCGTCAGAGACTGGATACTAGGCTAGATGAACTATTGGTTTCATCCAGTAGGGCGCTTCTTATGTTCTTATATTCCAGATCAGTGTTGCTTAACTTTTTGGTGCCACTGGGGCTTGTGTGGTCAAACATAGGGCCCCATGCTGCCTCCCGCTGGCTTGTGGGCCTGGATTGGGCCCCAGGTAACCTCTAGCCCATATGGCTCCCCCACAGGATTGGCAATTTGGCAGCAGAGGAGAAGCAACTGCTGCCAAAACTTCCCTACTCCCAATCTTCTGGACCCATGAGAGCCTCTGTGGGCTGAATGGCATGGCTCCACTGGTTGGATCTGGCCCATGGGCTGAGCACTTTTGCTCTAGAGAAACTCAGCATTAAACTCAGTATTGGTATAAACAATCACAGTTCCCACAATGTTCAAAAGGAAGTGATATTTTTCCTTCCTTCTTCAAAAGGGTCAGTAATTAGAAGGTGCAGAATTAAATTAAACAAATACTTATGTGCTCAGTGATTTTTCTTTTGATTCAAAGCACATTGTTATCCCACCCCCACATTTCCAGTTCCCAAAACAGAGTCTGTGCTCAAACTCTAAAGCATTAAACCCTGCATTAGGAAAAAGTATATCCATACATGCAACGTGCATATTATTGTACTTCATAGGAGAACCATCCTAGAGACAGCCCTAGGATGAATTTTTCTAAATTGTTTGATGAAGTTCTGCTATTTTTGGGGGGACGATAAAAAATGTGTATCAATGTATTAATGCGATGTGTGCTTAGGAATTCTTCTTGCAATAAGCTTCAAAACACATTCATTTCTGAATACCATAACTTACATTCCTTGATAAACAGGTAGGTGAGTGTTAGCACTACAGTGTGACCACTAAAAAGAAAGTCTCCACATAGGATGTGCGATCCTGTAATGGACAGACCACCACCAGAAATCAGTCGCAGGATCCTCTGCACCTTAGCTTGAGAATCTCCATTCAACTAGAAAGACAGGACAAAAAAAAAAAAAAAAAAAAAAAA